ACAAAACCATGTCAATCTTCATATTGTTCACTACTATTTCTATTAATGAATTGTTACTATTTTAAGGGTGTGACAGTTGATCAAAAAATTTAAAATGATTCTACGTATACGGTAGGTTGAAAGTTACACACTAATTCCTCCATTTAAAAATATAATTTATTTTAGACTTTACATGTACATTTAAATATAATTATTTAACAGTTAATTTGTATTTTAAATATCTTTATAATATTCCTAATTAAGGATTGCTCGATATTGGAGCATGAGGACCATACCGACACTAATTCACCAAGGAAATGTAAGATATATGATGAACAAGGAACACCCTACTGGCCAACAAGGAAAACTGATCATTCATGTAGTACTTAGTCAATTACCTTCAAACTTCTATCTGGCCCATTCCAACATTTGTCACCGTTCTTAAAAAGCATGATTCTAAACGAATCCTCAACTTTTTCCCGGGTCCTACAATCTTAGGAACGGAACAATTCCAGTCCAATTCTGATTAGGATTTAGTGATTAATCGACAAGAATTTATGAAGAAGTTTAGGGTTTAATAAGAGTAAAGGTAAAGTAGAGAGAGAAAAAGAGAGTTGAGAGAAGAAAGAGCGATGCTCATTTCATTAACATGATTTTCGAATGAATTATCAGTACAATGGCGGAATTATTTATACTAAATCTCTTCTAAAACATAGCTAATAGCTGGCTGAGAAAGTGACAACAAACTAGTACTTGCATGTGCACATAAATGTTGTACCAGCATTGGAACGACGCCGTCTCTTCCTTGGCTCTTTTAAAATTTTGAATCCACCGACTTCACCAATTTGGTGCACATGACAATACTCCCTCCTTTTAAACAACTAGCCTCAAGTTGCAAATCCAGGAAATTGACCTTTGATGAATGAACAATCCTCCCAAGATGCATCTTCCACTTCAAACCCACGCCATTTAATCAACCATTGCACTATTTCCTGAGTTCCCCTCAGAATCATCCTCCTTTGTAAAATTTCTCAGGCTCTAATGCACAGTCATCTTGATCACCAAAATCAGGCAAGTCTGAGACTTGAACTGGAACTGTTCCCACAAATTTCTTGAGTAATGAGACATGAAAGACGGGATGAACTTTTGAACTCACAGGCAGCTCCAACTTGTATGCCACATTGCCTATCTTTTCCAGTATTTTATAGGGACCAAAATAGATTTGCCTCAGCTTTAAATGGCTTCTGGAAACCACTGTCTGCTGTCTGTATGGCTGCAGTTTAAGATGTACAAACTCCCTCACTTGGAATGCTCTTTCACTTCTCAGGCGATCAGCAAGCAGCTTTATTCTGTTATGAGCTTTGTTCAAACTATCTTTCAACTTCTCCATGATCAGTTGCCTTTGTTGGATCATTTTAGTAGCTACTGGGATCACAACATCAGTATAAGATCCTAATGGAATGCCAGTAGGTTGATACCCATACAAAGCCTGATAAGGAGACGTTTGAGCACTTGAATGGAAGGCAGTGTTGTACCACCATTCCGTCAGCATCAACAGTTTAGACCAGGTGTTAGGAGTAGAACTACAGAAGCACCTTAGATAAGCTTCTAGATATTGGTTTAGCCTCTCAGTCTGGCCATCAGTTTGGGGGTGGTAAGCAGTGCTAAAATTCAAGTTGACCCCCAAAGCCTGAAAAAATGCTTTCCAGAATTTACTTGTAAAAGTCTAGTCTCTATCAGTCACAATGGAATCTGGTAGTCCATGCAACCGATAAATCTCCTTCAAAAATACTTCATACACTTATTTAGCTGAAAAGGGATGCCTCAGTGGAATGAAATGACCATATTTGGTCAACCTGTCAACCACCACCAAGATACAATCATACCCTTCAGTAGATATTGGCAACTTTTCAATGAAGTCCATGGAGATCCCTTTCCAAGCTTGTTGAGGAATTGGTAAGGGTTGTAGCAATCCAGGATAATGAACATGTTCCTGTTTACAAGCCTGACAAACTGCACAAGATCTAACAAAAGCTTCCACATCAGTCTTCATATTCTTCTATACAAACAAGCTTTTGACTCTCTGATAAGTTACTTTCTGGCCAGAATGTCCACCCAAACTTGAAGAATGGAAAGCAGCTATGATCTTTTCTTTAAATCCACCTATGTTACCTACAAACAGCTTACCATTTTCCTTTAAAACACCCCCAATATATTGCCCATGACTGTAATTAGTGGGATCCAAAGTAGAATTTAAAATCATTTCCTGAGACACCACATCTCCTTCATAACTTTCTTCTAATTGTTGAATCCAAACAGGTTGAACAATGGTAATAGCATTGAGCTGATCTCTCTCTGGTTGATCCTTCTCCTGACATTCCCTTCTAGAAAGAGCATCTGCCACTATGTTTTCCTTCTCCTTTTTATATTGGATCTCATAATCCAATCCAAGCAACTTTACCATCCATTTATGCTGCAAGGGAGTATTCAGGTTTTGTTCCAAAAGATATTTCAGTGACTGATGATCTGTCTTAATCACAAAATGATGGCCTTGAAAATAGTGCTTCCATTTGTTAACAGTCAAGACCAATGCTAATAATTGCTTCTCATATGTGGAAAGAGACTTGTTCTTTTCACAGAAAGCTTTACTCAAAAAAGCAATGGGATGATGCTGTAGCATTAATACTACTCCCATCCCCTCACCACATGCATCAGTTTCAATAATAAACTCCTGTGAAAAATCTGGCAAAGCTAACACAGGTGATGTTGTCATAGCTGTTTTCAATTCCTGAAAAGATTGAGTAGCTTTTTGGTTCCACTAAAAGCTCTTTTCTTGAGCAGATTAGTTAGGGGTTTGCTAATGATCCCAAACCCTTTAACAAACCTCTTGTAGTAACCAGCAAGACCCAAGAAACCCCTCAATTGCTTTACTGTAGTAGGTACAGGCCAATCAACAATGCTTTGCACTTTGCTAGGATCCACGTGGACTCCATTTCTGGAAATTATGTGTCCCAAATACTCCATGGTTGGTTGAGCAAATGAACACTTGGATCTCTTAGCATAAATTTGGTTATCCACCAATATTTGCAACACCATTGTTAGATGATTCACATGGTCTTCTAAGGATCTGCTAAACACAAGGATGTCATCAAAAAACACCAACACAAATTTCCTTAAGGACTGTTTAAAAACCTTGTTCATCAGATTCTGGAAAGTGGCTGGGGCATGTGTCAAACCAAATGGCATCACTAAACATTCAAAGTGGCCATGGTGAGTTTGGAATGCAGTTTTGGAAATATCTTCCTTGCATACCCTAATCTGATGATATCCAGATTGTAACTCAATCTTAGAAAACCAGCTGCATCCTTCAATTAATCCAACAGTTCCTCAATTACAGAGATTGGATACCTGTTTTTGACTGTAAATCGTTTAAATGTGTCGGTGCACATCCGCCAGATCCCATCCTTCTTCTTAGTCAACAATACAGGAGAAGCATAAGGACTATTGCTTTCCCTTGCAGTCCCTCTTTTAAGCAAATCTTCAACCTGAGTTTCAATTTCATTTTTGTGTGCATAGGGATACCTGTAAGGTCTGATCTTGAATGGGGTAGACTCAGGTTTAAGCACAATGTGATGATCAATAGACCTTTCAAGAAGAAGAGAGGTAGGTTCATCAAACACCTGCTGAAATCTCTCTAATACTGCTAATACTGGTGGTGGAATTCGCTCAGCAGCTGATGAAGAATCAGTACTTTCATCCAAAATGTACACTGTTTGAACCAGCTATCTTTCACTGTCTGTTCATACAATTTAGTCCTCTTATCAGGTCTGTCACACTGACTATCTATCTTGTTTCCATTGGGATTAGCATTCCTTAATATTTTTTGGATCTCATCTTCTGTGGCCAATGCATGACCTTGCAATATAAACCTTCTGCCTTGCCTTGTCAACTCAATTCTGCACTGATCATAGTCAAACAAGATGGGGTTGAAATGAGACATCCAATCAGCTCCCAAAATAATGTCCCAATTCCCCAAGTTCATAAGTCTTAAATCATAATGGAAGTGGTGTTTCTATATAGATCATTTTGCAGCTGGACGAATTATGTTGTTTCTGATTTATAAGCAAGCTGAGTATCTATAAAACTTCTTACTGCTCCTGTATCCACCAATATCCTCACCATTTCACCATTAATCCATCCTTTGATCACAATGAGTCTTCTAGGTTCATCCTCACCAGGAGCTTCCGGGACCACACAATCATCCCAATAAGTAACAACACACAATTCCACTGTCGTATGTGATTCCAATTTATCACTAAGCCATTTGACATGATCAAGATCCACATCATCATCTACTATAATCAAATTCAAATGCTCTATTTTACACACATGACCAGGACCCCAAGATTCATTACACTTCCAACACAAATTGTTAGCTCTTTTGTATTGTTTTTCTTAGTGTGACAACCTTTTAAAAACCTCCTGTCCCCCTTTATTTCCACTATGAGTAGCTACCTTTCCCACTAACATTAAAACTTCTATTACTAGTTGGAACAGGAAACTTGGAAATAGCAGTTAAAGAGAGTGTTTGCTCCCGTGACTTGGCTGCCTAGAATGCTCTTAACACATTTTGTGGCTCCATAAACCTCACAAAAGGTTTGAATTCTTCCTTTAACCCACTTACAAAGATAGAAACAAAGTAAGCCTCACTTAAGTATGGATTAATATACAGTAACTGAGATTTCAACTCCTCAAACTTATCATAATACTCAATGATTGAACCAGTTTGAGTGAGTTTGTTAAATTCTTCCACAGGGTCTAAACAATCCAGATCCTTAAACCTTTTTATCAATTCTGACTCAAACTGGTCCCAAGAGGCCTGGGGATGACATTTTCGAAAGCTTTGGAACAAAAAATCAGCCCTACCATCCAAATAAAACTCTACCACTTCTAATTTTTCGTCTTCTGGTAATTTATCCCACCTGAAATACTTTTGTCACTTCCTGATCCAGCTTCTAACATTATCCCCCCTCAAAAACAGGCAACCCAATTTTAGGTTTAGATTTCCAATTGCTGTTATTCAACTGTCTTTCCCCGTGGTCAAATTCATCTTCTAATGGAGTAATTTGCTTAAAATGATTGCATTTAGGACCATTAACTTCACCAGCAGGATACAATTTAACACCAGTAACTGAAGCTATAGAAGGGGAATTGTGATGCTTACCAACACAGCTTGACAATTCCCTGCCAGCATCCATGCCAGGTTCCAAAGAAGAGATTCGTGCATCCAAAGCTGAGAATTGTTCCCCTACCACCTCCTGCATCATCCTGGGAAGGTCAGCATAAATTCGGACGAAATTTTCATTTATTGATTTCGTCAGTTCCTCATTCATCTTTCTCATTTGCTTTGTCATCTGATCATTCATCGTCTTCAAGAATTGCTCCTGAAGCAGCTTGAACTTGTTTTCCAGCGAATCGTCCATTTCCCCCACCTGAATAACCGAACGATTTGGCGTCATTTCTTCACAAATCCAAGGAACAATAGGCTCTAGATACCAAGTGTCAGGAACGGAACAATTCCAGACCGAAACCGATAAGGATTTAGTGATTAATCGACAAGAATTTATGAAGAAGTTTAGGGTTTAATAAGAGTGAAGGTAAAGTAGAGTGAGAGAGAAAAAGAGAGTTGAGGGAAGAAAGAGCGATGCTCATTTCATTAACATGATTTCCGAATGAATTATCAGTACAATGGGAGAATTATTTATACTAAATCTCTTCTAAAACATAGCTAATAACTGGTTGAGAAAGCGACTGCAAACTAGTACGTGCATGTGCACATTAAATGCTGCACCAGCACTGGAACGACGCCGTTTCTTCCTTGGTTTTTTGAAATTTTGAATCCACCGACTTCACCAATTTGGCGCGCATGACACAAGCCACATTTTTGAATCCACCGTCTCTTCCTTGTCTCAAAGATCAATATACAGTGGCATAATGTAACACCTTAGACCTATTGGCTGACCCAAATAACTTTTTGGGTTTTCAACCTTCCTAGCCCAAAAATACTTGAGCCAAGTTATTTTAGAAGGCCACAAGCCGAGGACTCATTTAAGAGTCAGAAATTTCCACATAGAAGATGTAACTTCAGATTGTCCACCTTTTCTCTAGTAATGATGATAATGTTTTCTCTATTAGGTACTACCTATTAGATAAAAAGGGAAAACATACTGGAGACTAACATACATCTCCACTTTACCCTAAACGAGTTGTGATGTGACCTTCCACCTGAGATGCTTGTTTATATGGGCACAGTTTATAAGTATACCTGAGCCAGGTACAATGCACATAAAAAAGCAATAGTAAGAATATTAAGCACAACAAAGTAAAATGACTCATGATTAACAAGAATTAGAAGACAAACTTGTTTTGCTGGGTCTCGAAACATTGACCATAGAATGAATAAAACTCTTTCTCTGGTCCTGTTAAAAAATGAGTAACAATAAAATTAGATCAATAATATGTACATATGCAGTTTAAAAAATATTTATACTTTTGTGTGTTCATTAGAAAGAAAAAAGAAAAAAAACGAAAAAGAAAGATATCATCACACAAGCTTTAAGCCGTAAAACCTACCAAAGTCCTGTTTTAACTTTTGTGACAAACTTGATATCTTGGACTGTAATTTAGACAGCTTTGCACTAGACTCATCATATTCTTTGCGAACACGTGCAGCTTCTATTGTTTCAAAGAAGAGAATAGTGGAATCAGCATAGGCTTCTTTCATAACATAAGATAAAGCAAATATACACCGGGTAAAAATAAACATACCAGATTTATCAATTGGAGTTTGGAATAGGTTTACAGCCTGAAGAACTTGTCTTATAGTCTTTTGAATCTTCTCCAACCAAGATGATTTTGTCGTACTGCCCACATCTGATGAAATTTAACTCTTAGTGGCAACTATTAACCATAGTTGAGTTTGACCCATACAAAGTAAACAATACAAATCACCATCTCCAGTAAGACTGGGAAGAAACTGACCCGATAGGTCAAAATCATCATCTGACTCAAATTTATCAGAAGAGCTTGAACCATCATCATGATCCATGTCGCCCAAATCATCCATTGGTTCTTCATTTTCATCATCAGCATGATCATACCTGTGCTCATCATCCTCGGAATCATATTTATTGTCCTCTACATAGCTATTCTCTTCCGGTTTTTTCATGATTGTCACCCAGGGAATTACCAACGACCTCTTCATTTTTATCCTGCTCAGTATTTTCTCCAGTCCAACGAGAGGCAACAAGACGACCTAATTCCTCCTTGGATAATGATTTCATATCTGCAGTTTTCTTTTCCAGCTGAAAAGAAAATTAAAAGTTAAAAATATTCTGACTGCATGCACAAGTCAGAAAAAAGTGGAATATGGCAACCACAAAAACGGCACTGCACAAAATACTTGTAGAATCAAACAGTCAAGTTCTTGAAAGAACATTCTTAATTTTCTGCAAGATGAGTGTTCGAGCAATCCATCTGTTGTTCATCTGCAATAGCAATTCCTGCTAATACTGAAACTGAAAGTCAAATAACAAACACTGACAGTCAAACTTGCTTACATCATCTCCAATATCAACATTTGGTTTATCTTCAATTGAAAACTCATCATCTCCATCGGCTGCCTGCCATAAGTAATGTTGGTAAAGAGATCAAGAATAATGCGAAGGCAATGATCTCCACTAGAAAAATAGAAATCATCACATACAGTATTAACTGTACCTGAAAATATTCCTTTTCCACAGGTTCTACATTAGCATTTGGTAATTCTTCCTCCACAGTGTGATCTCCACCAAAAAGTTCACTCTTGGGATTGTCATGGCCTCCCATTACATCCTATTGCAAGTGCGAAAGGCAGTGATACGAGAAAATAAAATATCATACTCCATGCCGCGGCTGGGGAGAAGAGGGGGGGGGGGGGCATTGCCCAAGCTGTATGCAGGTTTATCCCTGTAGTTTAAACTGTTTCCATGTGACTCAAGATAATGAACTGCATTTGATATATTGATTTCCAGAAACTTTGGTATTAAGAATCACTGGAATTTAGTAGAACCATTTTGACCTACTCCATTATTGCCAAAAAACCTCAGAAATTGTCAATGATGACTCTTCTAGCTCCATTTGCAACGGATGAATGATACAAAAAATTACAGTAAAAACAAAAAGGGCCAAGTCACCTGTGATGAAGGGAGTACTTCAACTGAATACTCCATCTGTCCCACAAATTAGTACAATTTAGAATTTAAAAATGTGGACAATTTCCTTGAGAAAGGGAGTACTTAAGAAAGCAACTAGAGAAATATGTACATTCAATAGAAAATGTTGCCTAATAATTTTGAACAAATGCGTACGGATGGCTGAAGTCCAAAGCTCGGCTCGGAGTTGATTAGGCTGTTCAAGATGAAGGTTAGGGAAATGGCCGGTATCTTCTATAGCTTTGTGTATCCTGTTGATGAGTTCAATCCCAGAATGGAAATCTCTCAATTTCCAAAGGCATTGGAGCTTACGTCCACCTTCTTCATTTATCAATCTCCATCCCGCAACCTGTAATTAACCCGGAACTCATTCATTAGCTTGCTTATAAACTCATAGCAATGAAATCGAAAATTCTTAGTAGGTAAAATAGAGTACGTGATTCTCACCTTGAACAAGAGCTGCTTGTCGTCTTCCTCGGACATAGTTTGCTGTTGGGGAGAAATGGAAGTGCAACTCTGTTGAGAAAGAGACAGAGCGGTGGCATTTGGGATCAAAATCTTGTGTTCAGTTCAAAAATTTCCGATAACTTTTTCACCGAAATTGCTCTCAATCTCAGCTGGAAAAGGGTCCCTGGCTCCAAAATCCCCCAACAAATCAATCCCTTTTCCTCCCGAAGCTACTATCTTTGCAGTTGATGGTGATGGATTCCTCCTAATTCTCTAGAATTTTCTCAAAAAGGGAGCCCTTTGGGTTGAGGATCCTCTTGGCAGTGGGAATTTTGTAGGGGAAGTGTAGTATATGACGATACCTGGAATTGTACCGCGGGTGTAGGGTGGATCACCGGCTAGGGTTTTCTGCAAAACAGAACCTCGGGCGTCTCCCGAGGGTAGATACTCCGAAGCTTAAGTCAGAAAATAGGGTTATGTGTGTATATTTTGATAGCCAAGATCGCGTACCTTTATTGTAGAATAATGGTCCCTATTTATGGACCTGGGAAGCATCCGATTACTACTAGGGTTAGTAATAATACACCGTCATAAAAAAGGCGGTTAGACCCTAGTAATAAAAAAGCCGAGTAGCGGGCCGGCCCATTGAAGGTGGCGGATATGGACTCGTCAAGTGTCCCTATTAAGTATTAATTATGCGAATAAATAAGACTTGATATTAAATAAAACTGACCTGGCCCGGCCCATGTGGAATAAATAAGCACCAGCCCAATCCAAATGTGACTATCCGCGGGCGAGGATCCGAACCGGGAAGGTGACCCGACTTTTAAATCCTGCCTAAACGGAAATTATGCCCCTTTAATGCGCACGATTCCCAAACGACGACTAGGCAATCATAATTGTGCCTTGAACTTCGCCTACGGTATCGGGTCGTGTGAGAGAGAAAGCGCCTTTTATTAATTTTTAACCGGGGGAAAGGCTAAAGACTTTAGCCATTTGTTTCTTTTGCCAAACTTGTAGTCAGAAAACTCCACACCCTCTGTCCCGGCGTACCAGATTCCTCTGTCAACCGAATACTGCCGTCAAGGAGAACCAGCAGAGTCTGAAAATCCGTCCAATAATCGTCACCAGGGAAGCGTTATCTCATAAGTAAGTCCTCTGACCTTCGGGTATTCTAAACACTGTGTATTGGTCTATATACTTTGCTTTATCTGAACCCTGCTAGATTTGCATATATTAGGATAGATATGGCGTCGCAAACAGTTTCCGACTTTGCATCCATCATAGATTCCGCTGAAAAGGCTGAAGCCATCGCCGAAAAATATAACTTCCCCATAGATCTAGACTATTGAGCACCCTTAGGTACTGAGAGAGCTAATACTCCACCAGAGGGGAAAATCACTGTATATGATAGGTCCATGTTCCTAGGACTAAGATTCTCCCTTCACCCTCTGTTTGGTAGGATAGTGCAGTACTATAAGATTCCACTTGCTCGATTTACCCCGAACTTAGTCACAGCAGTTCTCAGATTCCTGAGACTCTGCGAACTAAAGAAGATAGCTCCTCGATTGTTAGTATGGAGATACTTTTTTAAGGTCTGTGTGCCCTCGACCAAATACAAGGACTGGTATAACATTAAGACGAATGTTTCCTCGAAGGTGAACCACATAATAGAACTCTTCGATGGTGCCCCATCGTGGAAGCCGAATTATTTGTTTGTTTCAGCTTGGGATTATCGAGAAGCCCATGAAATGGGCGGGGTGGCAGATGCCTGGTCCAAGCATGATAAGGCCAGAATCGAGAGGTATAGGGCTAACATTGACGTTTTGGAATCTGTCGAGAACATCCTCGGCTACACAGAAGTGCAACAATACATTCCTCCGGTTCACGTCGAGGAGAAAAAAGGTACTAACTCGTTATGTGCATTGTTTTTGTTTTAGGTCATGTCATCGAGCAAAGATACCGTTGGATTGTTTGGTGACCCCCAGATTTTTTAAATTAAAAATTCAGATGATGAGGGGTCATCCAACAAGGTCACTAAGAAGAGGAAGCTGAGAAGGCTTGTGAAGGCGTCCGATGCGGGTGCCATGGCCAAGAAGAAGAAGCCTCCCACTTTCGAGGGAGTAGAAAAGCCGATCGAGGAGGAAGTCCCGGTCGAGATGGTAGAGAGGATCGATGACACAGCCGATCCATTGAATGCTGTCCCCTCTACCACCAAAGAAGCTGAGGTCCCGATGCCCGAGGACCCAATACCCGAGGCCATTCCGGCGATAGAGCGGCATCCAGAGTGGTTCAGGCCGCTCGAGGCTTCTCTAGAGAAGAAGAACAACGTCGAGGACACCGACGGGTCGTCGACATATACTGCTGCCGCTGCCATATATCATTTTGGGGACAATAAAATAGAGTGCCCCATCATCGAGGAGGTTGCGGCGACCTTGACGGAAGAGGAGTTGCTGAAAATGGTAACCTTTTTCCAACCACCAATTATGTTTTTCCCGGACGCTTTATGATACCCTTGCTGACATTCACCATGTATTTGTTGCAGTTGACTACCACCATGGCCAGCATCCTCATGCGAGAGAAGACGCTGAAGCAAGAGATTGCCAGCTTGCAGGCCGAGAAGGGGCTCCTCGAGCAGGAGAAGCAGTCAAGCGAGGAGTCGAGGAAGGAGGAGCAGGCCCTGAGACTTGCAAGGGAACAGGAGCTGGCCAATGTTCAGGCCATGTACAAGGAGGTCGAGGCCAAGCTGTCAGAGTATGGGGAGACTCATGTTCCCATATCAGATTTACAGGCCTGGATTTCTGCTTTTTGGGCGAGAATGGTGCCCACGGGTGGGCTGGCAAGCATCCTGGTTGGCATAAGCAATGATGCTAAAGTATTGGGGGGACATGGCGTAGCCGTGGCTGCTCTTGAGAGGATGGAGAGCGGAAGGACCATCAACGCTGGGTGGCTTCAACAATTTATAAGGCCACATCCTAAGAAAACTCTTCACGAAGCCCTCAAGAAAGGACTGCAACAACTTTCTGACGGTCAGCTCCCCCTATTTGGGCCATTATGCAGTGTCGTTTCTCAGATGAGGTCCTCGACGGAGATTGCTTCCTTCGAGAGAGATGCTCTCTCGGTGCTTCCTGATGGTGCTGGGGAGGAGGTTTGCGTTCCGGAGTTGGCCCCAGACTTTATCGGCGTCGAGGTGGAGTGGGAAGAAGATTCCTCGGAGCAGGTCGAGGAAGATGATCAGAACAACCAGGAGCCGGTGGGGGAAGGAACGTCGGCTCCTCCGCCCGTCGAGGAAACCAATGAAAGTCAGCCGAGCTAAGGTTGTAGACCTTAGAGTGTTGTAGTGATTCTCGAACCTTTTTGCCGCTTACTAATTAAATCGGTGTCTTTTTAATTTTTGACATATTTCTGTCCCTTATGCCAGGATTCGTAATTTGTTCATCACTTACATCTATTGATTCTTGAGGAAGATGAGGTTGCAAGGTTTCCCCTGTATGCGATGATTTCTTCGATTCTGAGGAAGATGAGGTTACGGATCCCTCAGTCTACTAATACCGCGATCTACGGTGGATGCGGGGATGAGTCCTCGTCTTAAGGGTCCGGATGTTGAATACACGACTCAAATCGAGGATGGCCCTATAGAAGGTGTCCATCTCGATGACTAGTCATAAGATAGTGTCGACACATGCAAGTATAATAAATATGTAATAAAAATATGTAATGACTTTTATTAATAATTACCCGAGGACCCGGGTTAGCATTACATACAAACGAACAAAAGCAATCAAATCACTTAGCCAACAAAATCACAAGTAGCATGCAAGGGAATTAAACATAAAACCTGCGGAGATTCTGAATGTTCTACCATCATGGGAGAACGGTTCCCGTGTCATCTGTCGTCTGCAATCGGTAGCTGCCCGAAGGAGAGACTTGAATGACTCGATAGGGTCCTTCCCAGTTGGCTGCTAATTTCCCCGAGGTCTCTGCTCGACTGGCGTCGTTCTTTCTAAGCACCAAGTCCCCGATTATGAAGTCAGTGCTCTTGACTCGTTTGTTATAATTTTTTCTGAGGATCTCCTTATACTTAGCTTCCCGGACTTTTACGGCATCTCGCCGTTTCTCGAGCAGGTCAAGGTTAGTCAGGATATCTTTGTTGTTGGGGTCTTCGACAAAGTTGATCGTTCGAGGACTTGCTAGGCCAATTTCAACTGGGAGGACGACGTCCATTTCATAGACTAAGCTGTATGGCGTCTCGTCTGTCGAGGAATGGGCTGTGGTGCGATATGCCCATAAGACATGAGAAAGTTCTTCGACCCAAGCCCCTTTTGCATTATGCAGCCTTGTTTTAATTCCGTGTAGGATGGTTCTATTAATTGACTCAGCTTGTCCATTTGCCTGCGGATGGGCGACCGCGGAGAATCGACGCTCGATCTGCATCTCTGCGCACCATGATTTGAAGGGGTCGCTCTCGAACTGGGTTCCGTTGTCTGACACAATCACCTTGCGCACTCCAAACCGGCAAACCACATTCTGCCAGAATAAATTCAACACTTTTCTTCCCGATATCGAGGCCAATGGTTTTGCTTCCACCCACTTGGTGAAGTAATCCACGGCTACGATGACCCATCGTAGTCCTCCCGCCCCTTTTAGAAAGGGGCCGCTGATGTCGGTCCCCCATTGGTGGAATGGCCAAGAACTTTGTATGGTTACCATCTCGTGCTGTGGCTGTCGAGTTATTGGTGAAAACCTTTGGCATCTGTCGCACTTTTGGACGAAGTGGTAAGCGTCCTTAAGAACTGTGGGCCAGAAGTATCCTGCTCAAAGGACCTTTTTCGCCAATCTTCTTGCTCTCATGTGGGCCCCGCACGACCCTTCGTGGACTTCTTCGAGGATGACCGTAGTATCGGTAACAAGTACCCGTGTTTGTAGAAGATTCCATCCTTCAGAGTATATTTAACTGCTTTTAGCTTCAACGCTCGAGCTTCCTATCTATTATCGGGGAGCGTTCCATTCTCGAGGAAGCGGATGAATGGAGTCAT